TCATTTCAAGTTACTAAAGTGTGTTGCCACACTGGCAATGAGGAATTTATTGTTATGTCAATACTGGTGTATTCTAATTAGCTTCCTCATTGCCTTCCTCACTGATCCGTTTATGTTAATTCCCTTTCCAATTTCTTTCTTTCCATGGCTAAATCAAAATTATAAGAGAAAGCCACTATTCTCCTAGATTTTGCAATTTGAATGTAGATCATAATAACATCCCTTTTAGAGCCAGAAATGATTTCAAGCTATCACTTATGCCAGACCACTGCCCACAAAAGGGGATCCTTAAATCATGTATAAAAGGTACGTACCCATGTTTAGTGATCTCTTGGAGTTAGTGTGCAACCTCCTCAGTGGTTTGTTTTGGTATTTCTCAGTGGTGTAGTGAAATTCTTACTGATGTTTTTGTAGGATGCCCTTGTGAGTAATATAGAGGTAAGGGAGAAGTTCCTTTTTTTAAAAAGAGATAAATAGGATAAGGATGAATAAAGGAAGCAGATAATCTATAAAGAAAAGGGTTGACACGAAATAGAAGCAGCTAGAAAAGGTATTGGAGGTCAGTTAGGATTGTGAGACTGTGGAAATGGAGACAGAGGATTGTCATGTATTTATTATATTTATCAGCTACTTTATACTATTATGCTTAAATGGATAAAATCATAAGGGTTAGAAAAGGAATCTTTTTAAATTTATATTTGATAAATTTTAGAGTTAGAAAAGACACATACTCAGAGCTTAAGGTAGATTTTGTTCAAGAAAACAGTCAAAAAATCTAAAGCATTAGTAGGTCTAAAGCTATGAAATGCATTGATTGAGCCGCACTAGCCATGGGGCTTTTCTTGTATTTGTACATCTTTTGAGAGGGAAAAGATTGATAAAGGGGATTGATGTTGACTGTCACAACACTACATAGACACATCCTTAGACAGAAACATTTGCTAACACATCCTTAAACAGACACAATGGCTATCTTGACGAAATCAAATTGATGAAATAAATAGCTGATAGCAGAAATTATTCTTGAGTCAGTTTACCCTATTTAAAAAGTTGATTTAAAAGGAAACAGTTATTATTGCTTTTTTCTCACTAGATTTTTTTCTCAATTAGAAATTTATTTTGAAATGATATTTTGGTTTGAGTTTAGTGATTAAAAAAAGAGAACAAATGTAATATCAGGTTTTTAAAAAAATTGTTTTACAAGATTAAATTTTCTTTTATATAGCCTACACCCTATATTATAGGAAAAGAGATTTACACAAAAGGAAATGGTAGATATTGAGAAAGAAACAGTGTTCTTCTTAGCACAGTTTCAAGTGTGAATTTCTGAGTTTTTGATCATGTACTTCATATGACTATTATATTCTCTGAAATAAAAAGATACCACTGTTATTTTGGCTTGGTTAAATAAAGTGTGTATACTGTAATACAGTTTTTCCATTAAATATTTTAGATATTTATACCAGAATTCAATGTATTTATAGTAAGGTATTAATAACTCACAGTTAACTTTTCTCTTGTAATTTCATAGAACTAGCTTTCTTTTTTTTTTTTCAAATTTAAAAAGTTTTATAATGGAAAATTTCAAGGAAAAAACTTCTCAGGAAAAGAATCGTCACCCAGTTTTAACAATTGTCACCTATTATCCAGTCTTTTTTCATCTTATAAATTTGTTTTTAGGTTAATGTTACTTCTCATTGCTCTGTGATTAATACATTTCAAAATCAAAAGATCTTATAAATTGGCTAGATGAAATCTTCCTCCCCCCAAATTACTTTGCTTTACGTTATTACTCTATTTGGAAAAGATTTTTTGGCCGTGCCCAGGTTTGTATTTCTAAGATAGCTGTCATGAATATACAATTATATTTTCTGCTCTTTCATCACTTATTAAAAATAAAGATTTTTATGTAGACTTAACAAGCTTAAATATGATTTTTAAAAATTCAACATCACCAAACCTATAAATATATAGGATCTTACCTTTCCTTTTTTCTTTTGTCTCTGAGACTGGTGTGTAAGGAATCTGCTGTCTTTCTTCTACACCATTAAAAAAAAAAAAGCATGTCATGTGGTTTATTTCACTTTGTCTTAACCTTTGTACTCACTGAACAGGTGGAAGAAAAAAATAAGCTAGACTTCCTTAGCAAAAGATTGACTCTAAGAATAATTTCTTAAAGTCATCTTTGACTTTTTTAGTATAACAAGTAAGGTGGCTTTAGCTTAATCTTTGTGTTTCTTAATTTCTCTTGAGAAATTAAAATATTAACAAATTTACCTTGTGAGTTAAAGTATATAATATTGAGAATGCATAATTTGAAAAATGTATTGCTAAAGTTATTTAAATGTTAGTCCTAGAGGTATTTTATATTTTGAAAGACTCAAGTTGAAAAGATTGCACCAAGTTTTGTATTCCAGTGAGCTTCACCTTTGTTGTTTACTCATTTTATAACACCATCATTGGTGGTTTTACTGCCAAGTTATAACAGGAGCAGACTGCTCGAAGCATCAAAAGACCCACCCCTTGGCCATTATGTGGCCCTCAAAGGATCCGTACCTTCCTTGTGCTTCCTTGTGTAACTTCCCCTGTGTAAAATGGAATACTTTACAACATTTGTTCCCATCTAATTGTAGTAGATCTATCAGATAAAATCATAGTTAAAATTCACTGTTGGTAGTAAGTAATCATGGGGTTCAGAATGAGTTAGTTCTAACAGATTTAACTCAGTATCCCTAATCTGTGAAACAAAGAGATTAAAATAGATGTTCTTTTATGTTTGAAATTTCTGTGAGTGCATCAGTTCAGTTCAGTTCAGTTGCTCAGTCGTGTCCGACTCTTTGAGACCCCGTGAATCACAGCATGCTGGGCCTTCCTGTCCATCACCAACTCCCGGAGCTTACTGAAACTCATGTCCATCGAATCGGTGATGCCATTCAGCCATCTCATCCTCTGTCGTCCCCTTCTCCTCCTGCCCCCAATCCCTCCCAGGATCAGGGTCTTTTTTCAGTGAGTCAGCTCTTTGCATGAGGTGGCCAAAGTATTGGAGTTTCAGCTTCAGCATCAGTCCTTCCAATGAACACCCAGGACTGCTCTCCTTCAGGATGGACTGGTTGGATCTCCTTGCACTCCAAGGGACTCTCAAGAGTCTTCTCCAACACCACAGTTGAAAAGCATCAATTCTTTGGTGCTCAGCTTTCTTCACAGTCCAACTCTCACATCCATACGTGACCACTGGAAAAACCATAGCCTTGACTAGACGGACCTTTGTTGGCAAAGTAATGTTTCTGCTTTTTAATATGCTGTCTAGCTTGGTCATAACTTTCCTTCCAAGGAGTAAATGTCTTTTAATTTCATGGCTGCAATCACCATCTGCAGTGATTTTGGAGCCCAAAAAAATAGAGTCTGACACTGCATACACTGTTTCCCCATCTATTTCCCATGAAGTGATGGGACCAGATGCCATGATCTTAGTTTTCTGAATGTTGAGCTTTGAGTCAGCTTTTTCACTCTCCTCTTTCACTCTCATCAAGAGGCTCTTTAGTTCTTCTTCACTTTCTGCCATAAGGGTGGTGTCATCTGCATATCTGAGGTATACCCATGTAAATTGTAGGAGCAGCAGACATATTTTTAATTGAAGTTCAAAGTGAAGACATTACTTCTGTTTAGCATGAGACAAAAATAAATAGAAATTCTAGGTTGTCTGTTTCATTATGATTATCTTTTATTTGGTTATTATGAGATTCTGTCTATAGGAGAATTTCTGAGTTTAGATTATTTTATTATGGTAGTAGGGCATGATTGTGTAAAGTGTGTGGAGGATAGATATTTGGATCTATGAGGCTTAGCTAGTGATTGTGAAAACTGTTAAAGTTTATATTTGTATTTGAAAAAGATTGAATAGAATAATTATATTTTAAACTTAAAGTAGGAATTTATGATATTGAAACAATTTATTTTCAAGCAAGCTTTTTATATGTAATCTTGAAGTATTTAGATGATAAGTAGCATCCTACCTCTATTTTTTTTCAGAATTTTTCTCTACCCTATGTATAATTGATCTTGCATAGGTAGTAAGTGCACATCACTGGTACTTTTTGTGATTATTTGATAAAGATGGTTATTGTTTGTAATTGATATCATACTACTACTTATATAATTAGGCTTGTGATGTTCCTATTGTATTCTCAAGGAAGTTAGCTGGTTATTTTACAGTGTTAAAGAACAGTTGATAATTTTGAAATACCAATTTTAATTAAAGCAGTAGATAAAGAAGAATTTAAAGAAAATATATTCATCTAAAGCCATGAATCAGATTGCACTGTTGATTTTCTTACTCTGCAGTATAATCAGAGCTGTGTTACTTTTAAATGATTTGGTAAACTTCCATACAAGATTTCAAAGATATCAAAGAATTCTATAGCTAAAAGATACTTGAAAACCACTGTTTTAAAATTTAACTTTCTTGTTAACCTTGAGGATATGATAACAAGAAGTACAAATGCATTCTGATAGAAAAGACTTTAAGGATTTTCTGTGATAAATTTTGTATTTTCTTACAAGAAAGTAGAGTGGAGAATAAGAAAATAGAAGGATTTGGGGATTGAGAAGAGAAGGATGCTAAAAAAGTCTGTGTTGATGGGGCCAAATTTCTTTGTTCATCTGTGTGCACTTCTCTGGTGGCTCGGTGATGAAGAGTCTTGTCTTCCTGCAGTGCAGGAGACACGGGTTCAATCCCTGGGTTGAGAAGATCTCCAGAGGAAGATAATGGCAACCCTGGTATTCTTGTCTGGGAAATCCCATGGACAGGAGTCTGGCAGGCTGCAGTCCATGGCATTGCAAAAGAGTCAGACACAACTATGCAACTAAACACCACCAGCAAAGGAGTTATCACAAACTGCGGTTGAATAACTTATAAGTGTCCTATGTAATTGAGACTGAGTGAAGTTAATTGATTTTCTCTTCAATATAGTAAGAGGAATATTGCATACTTTTGATTTCAGGAAGGAAAAACAAATTAGAAGTGTAGAAGAAGAAATTGAACAGGAAAAACAAGCAGCAGAGGGTATAATAAAAAATATGTCTCCTGAAAAACAAGTCAAGTATATAGAAATGAAAACCACAAATGAGAAATTATTGCAGGTAATACTAGCTACTACTCTGTGCCGGGCTACAGCAATCTTACTACTGAAAATATGTTCTGAAAGTGGGCAGGATTGGCATCCCCTGAGAGCTTGACTACACCTACTGATCAGAGTCTTTATTTTAACAAGATGATTCATACAAACCTTTAAATTTGGGAAACACTCATCTAGAAAACTTTGTTTTCTTATGTTGTATAGTGACATAACTTTTACTATATTATTCAGTTCTATGCATCATTCATTTTTGCAGGTCATAAAGGTATCAATACATGAAGCACTTGTTTTTTAATGAGCTTTTAATGAAAACATTAAAAGGCCATATAGAACAGAGCCATATGGATATTCACTTTCTTTCCTTTCCTTGCTTCCTAATAAACACCTTTTACTTGCTGTGTCCTCATTTTGAACAGCTGTTGTCCCCTAATTATGGTAAGCAGTTTGGATGCCCACTGAGGGGTTACTGAGACTGCTCTCAGCATTCAGACGTAATGGTGACTCAGATTTGCAAGGTATTATTGCCCTTTCATGCCCAGATTTTCCTTAAGCAAGCAATTAAAAGAGAATTCGTCCCCACAAATACCAATGAATGTAGTTTTACTTTCTCAGATAATCCTTTATTGACAATTTAACTTTTTATTTCAGACACAATTTATGAAACATGGTAAAACATTGATGAAAGTGTTATAAAAATGCTGAAATAGTATCAAAGTATAGCTAATATTGCACAGGGGTTTTTGAATGGGTCTAGTTGGCCCTTGAACAACTTGGGTATTAGGCACGGCAACCCCTGTGCAGTTTAAAACCTGTGTATAACGTATAGTTTGCCCTCAGTGCCTGAGGTTTCACATCCACGGATTCAACCATCTTTGGACTGAGTAGTACATATTTCTTGAAAAAAAATCTGAATGTCAGTGGACCCATGCAGTTCAAACCTGTTATGTTCAAGAGTCAATGGTAAACAGTTGAAGGGTCTTATCCCTAAGAGGGAGCCATGTAAATTGCTATAGGTCTTGGCCTTAAGAGAAAATGGTCAAGAAATATGGAAACATGGTTAAAAAGTCAAATAAAAATTATAACTTTAAACAGTAACATCATTAATTTAAAGTCTTCTGATATTTGATATTCTCAGAACACAGTGATGATTCACTGAAAAGTTCTGGCTCCCTTGTTAAAAATTCATGAAGCATTTAAAAGGTAGATCATGGTAAGGTTTTTAATAATGATGAAATAAATTGGCAAAATAGAAATAATGAATGTTAACAAATTCTAGTCAAATTATAAGATATGGGCTGAAAATGTTTATAAAAGTTACTTCAACACATATATTTGAAATGTTGATAAATAAATTATTCTTAATGTAATTTGCATATATATGTGCTTTTTCCCCTTCTTCTTAGGAATTAGATACACTTCAGCAACAGCTAGATTCACTGAATATGAAAAAAGAGAGCTTGGAATCTGTAAGTATAAAATGAAGTAAAAATTTTCATATTACTCAGCTACAAAAGGTAATTCACTTGTAACTCAATTACAAAAGGTAATACATTCAGTGTATTAATGGAACTCATTCAGGTATATATTAGTAGTTTACTAACAGGAGTATAATATATTTTTTTCCCATTCAGGACTTCAACTATCCTAGTTTAGTAAAAAAGTAGATTCAGTTGGCATGGAAACCCACTCCAGTGTTTTTGCCTGGAGAACCCATGGACAGAGGAGGCTAGCAGGCTGCAGTCCAAAGGGTCTCAAAGAGTCAGGACATGACTGAAGCGACTTAGCACATCATGGCAGATTCAGTTATTGAGTACCTACCTGTACAAAAATCAGGGTGCCTGCTGAAGCACACAAAATCTAATGGTAATTTAAAAACATGTGAACAAGAGACTAAAAACAAATGAAGAAGGGGAGGTCAGTTCGTTAAAGATGTAAAAGCTCACATTTGCTTTATTATTTATCTAAAGCATTTTAAAGTTCACAAAACATATTTGTTATAAAATATTAAATAAGATGAATGTAAAAATGCCTTTTTCTTTTCTTTCTTTCTAGAAAGTTTCTCTTATATTTGCTGAGTGCTTATTATGTGCTTTTTTGAGCTCTTTATATGTGTCACCAGCATTGTCATTTTACCTTCACAATAATCCTATAATCCTATCTTTGTTTTACTGCTGAGAAAAACCTCAAGTTGGATGTACACTGGATATGCTGTCTGCAGCTTTTTTTAATCTAACATTCTCTCTCAAATGTCTGTTCACATCAGCTCTTAAGATATCTCCCTCATTATGTGAAATTACTGCACTGTACTATATTGTATGATTATATATAGCACAGCCTTGTAGATGACTAGGTTTTTCATAGTTTTTTAGATTCTAAAACAATGTTGTAGTAAAAATATACATTTTTTGCTGAGTTACTATGAGTATATCTTAAGATAAATTTCTCGCATTGGGTAAAAAATTACAAACTTCTAAAATGTTGTGACATTACCAAATTGCCTTCTGAAAAGCTTGTTTCATTTTATACTCCTAATCCCTATGTGTGAAAGTGTGTATTTCCCTGTATATTCATTAACAGCATGCATTATCAATCCATCGTTTGCATTTTTGCTAGTTTAATAATTTAAAATTATCTTATTTTAATTTTTCATTTATTTATACAAAAGGTGGAGTATCTATTTGTTGACCAATGTACTCTTTTTCTGCCAACTGCCTTCCCACTGTCTATCAAATCTGGCCTGCCTTTCTTGATTTCCTATGTATTCAGGTAGCTATCATGATGATAGGGCTAGTAACAATTGTACATTGACAAGATTGCTGTCACCTACCTTGCAAAAGAAATAAACATGAATATTTTGTAATCCTTCTTTTGAAAGTTTGTTATTGAAAAAATAATTTGCTTAAAAATATTAAGATGATTTTCTCTGTCCAGTTGTCTATATGTGGATACACATAATTTTTATTTTCTTTTATCTCTATGGTAATAAGAATATGCTTCAAGAAATAAGGACTGCATTTAGTGTTAATATAGCCAGTTCTCAAATTCATCACCATCTTTTTTTTAGGGTGTGTAAGAGAGAGTTGGGTCTTATTTCATTGGCAGATTCAGTTTCCACAGAAAGGTGTAACGTATAACCTTGCTTTTTGTGTTTGTATTGATACCACTCTTCTTTGGCATTAGTATATATATGCCTAAAATTACATGAATTTAAAGAAATGTACAATATTCTCAAATGAAGAAAAAGTAAATCCTAATTCTGTTTAACTAGATTTCCTTTGTGAGGTTTTTTTTGGGGGGGCGGGGGGACTTGTTCTTTTTTAATTAATTTATTTTTTAATTGAAGGATAATTGCTTTACAGAATTTTGCTGTTTTCTGTCAAACCTCAACATGAATCAGCCATAAGTATACATATGTCCCCTCCCTCTTGAACCTCCCATCTCCCTCCCCATCCCATCCCTGTAGGTTGATACAGAGTCCCTGTTTGAGTTTCCTGAGACATACAGCAAATTCCCATTGGCTATCTATTTTACATATGGTAATATAAGTGTCCATGTTACTCTCTCCATACATCTCACCCTCTCCTCCCCTCCCCCTGTGTCCATAAGTGTTTCTCCATTGCTGCCCTGCAAATAAATTCTTCGGCACCATCTTTCTAGATTCTGTATATGCGTTAGTATATGATATTTATCTCTTTCTGACTTACTTCACTCTGTAAATAGGCTCTAGGTGCATCCACCTCATTAGAACTGACTCAAAAGTGTTCCTTTTCATGACTGAGTAATATTCCATTGTGTATATGTACCACAACTTCTTTATCCATTCATCTGTCAATGGATATCTAGGTTGCTTTCATGTTCTAGCTATTGTAAATAGTGCTGCAGTGAACATTGGGGTACGTGTGTCTTTTTCAATTTTGGTTTCCTCAGGGTATATGCCTGGGAGTTGGAATCCTGGGTCATGTGGTAGTTTTATTTCTAGTTTTTTAAGGAATTTCCATACCATCTTCCATAGTGGCTGTATCAATTTACATTCCTACCAACAGTACAAGAGGGTTTGGAGAAAAGGGAACTCTCTTTTCTCCAGAGGGTTCCCTTTTCTCTATACCCTCTCCAGCACTTACTGTTTGTAGACTTTTTGATGATGGCCATTCTGATCAACGTGAGATGATATTTCATTGTAGTTTTGATTTGCATTTCTCTTAATAATGAGTGATATTGAGCATCTTTCCATGTGTTTGTTAGCCATCTGTATGTCTTCTTTAGAGAAATGTCTGTTTAGGTCTTTTCCCCACTTTTTGATTGGGTTGTTTGTTTTTCTGGTGTTGAGTTGTATGAGCTGCTTGTGTATTTTGGAAATTAATCCTTTGTCAGTTGTTTCATTTGCTATTATTTTCTCCCATTCTGTGGGTTGTCTTTGCACCTTGCTTATAGTTTCCTTTGCTGTGCAAAAGCTTTTAAGTTTAACCAAATCCCACTTGTTTACTTTTGTTTTTATTTCCATTACTCTCAGAGGTGGGTCATAGAGGATCTTGCTTTGATTTATGTCATCAAGTGTTCTGCCTATGTTTCCCTCTAGGAGTTTTATAGTTTCCGGTCTTACATTTAGGTCTTTAATCCATTTTGAGTTTATCTTTCTGTATGATGTTAGGAAGTGTTCTAACTTCATTCTTTTACATGTAGCTGTACAGTTTTCCCAGCACCACTTTTGAAGACGCTATCTTTGCCCCATTGTCAAAAATATATTTTTGACAAAATATATACAAAATATACAAATATATACAAAAGTATATTCTTGCCTCCTTTGTCAAAATTAAGGTACCCATAGATGTATGGGTTTATTTCTGGTCTTTCTATCTTGTTCTGTTGACCTATGTTTCTGTTTTTGTTCCAGTACCATACTGTCTTGATGACTGTAGCTTTGTAGTATAGTCTGAAGTCAGGAAGGTTGATTCCTCCAGCTCCATTCTTCTTTCTCAAAGCTGCTTTGGCCATTTGGGGTTGTGTTTCCATATGAAATGTGAAATTTTTTTGTTCTAGTTATGTAAAGATGCCATTGGTAATTTGATAGGGATTGCATTGAATCTGTAGACTGCATTTGGTAGTATAGTCATTTTCACAATATTGATTCTTCCTACCCAGGAACATGGAATATCTCTCCATCTGTTTATGTTGTCTTTGATTTCTTTCACCAGTGTCTTATAATTTTCTGTATACAGTTATTTTTGCCTCCTTAGATAGGTTTATTCCTAGATATTTTATATGTTTTTGTTGCAATAGTGAATTCCTTAATTTTTATTTCTGATTTTTCATTGTTAGTATATAGGAATGCAAGTGATTTCTATGTACTGATTTTGTATCCTGTGATTTTGCTAAATTCACTGGTTAGCTCTAGTAATTTTCTGATAGTATCTTTAGGATTTTCTATGTATAGTATAATGTCATCTGCAGACAGTGAGAGCTTTACTACTTCTTTTCTGATCTGGATTCCTTTTATTTCTTTTTTGAAATAAATTTTTTATTTCACTCTTTTTGGCATTAGTACATATATGCCTAAAACTGCATGAATTTAAAGAAATGTTACAATATTGTCAAACGAAGAAAATGTAAATCCTAATTCTGTTTAACCTTAGCTGGATTCCTTTGTGGGTTTTTTGGTGGACGGTGGTGGACTTATTCTTTAAAACAACATTATGTCAAATATCAGTCAATGAGTATTTATTTAATATCTGCTGTATGCTCACTACTGTGCTAAGTATTGTTGATTCAGTTCATAGGGGTGTGAAAAAAATCAGGTGAAGGATCAACATGAGTTTGAGTCTTCAGGAATGGTTTTATCAAGATGAAATTTGAACATGTCTATAAGTGGTTAAGTAAAATGGAAGGGGAAGATACTGTGAAGAGGGATACCTCAAAATGTCTGTATTTTTTTCTGTTGATGTTTTATTATCATGACTTTTCATCTAAAGCTAATATATTGTTAAGTTGGTACAAAAGTAATTGTGGCTTTGAATTGTTGAAATTTGCCATTTGATATTGGAATATGTTCTTAAATAAATGTGATTATGTTATACATAATTTTATTTATTTATTTTTGTTATATATCATTTTAATGCATATTTCTCACTTCATGTTTTCTTGCTAATGACTTATTGCTTGCTATTTATTTTATATTTATTTTAGAATATAGAAATGATGTTAGACAAAAAGCAAATTGGAGCGATTTTTTAAAATTTGAGTCAAAATGGGTCATAAAACAGCAGACACAACTCACAACATCAGCATTGCATTTGACCCAGGAATTGCTAACAGACATACAGTGCAGTGGTGATTCAAGAAGTTTTGCAAAGAAGATAAGAGCCTTGAAGATGAGGAGTGCAGTGGCCAGCCATTGGAAATTGACGATAACCAATTGAGACCTATCATCATAGCTGATCCTCTTACATCTACACAAGAAATTGCCTAAGAACTCAGCATCAACCATTCTACAGTCATTCAGCATTTAAAGCAAATTGAAAACGTGAAAAAGTTTGATAAGTGGGTGCCTTGTGAACTGACCAAAAATCAAAAAAATCATCATCCTGAAGTGTTGTCTTCTCTTATTCTGCACAACAACAATGAGCTATTTCTTGATTGGATTGTGACATGCAATGAAAAGTGAATTTTATGTGACAACTGGTGACAACCAGTTCAGTGGTGGGACTGAGAAGAAGCTTCAAAGCACTTCCCCAAACCAACCTTACACAGTAAAAAGATCTTAGTCACTGTTTGGAGGTCTGCAGCCCATTTGATCCTCTACAGCTTTCTGAATTCAGAAAGGATTCAACATAACGGGCCCAATTCTTTGCCATGACAATGCCCAACCCCATGTTGCACAACCAGTGCTTCAAAAGTTGAACAATTTGGACTATGTAGTTTTGCCTCATGCACCATATTCACCTGACCTTTCACCAACCGACTACCACTTCTTCAAGCATTTCAACAACTTTTTATAGGGAAAATGCTTCCACGACCATCAGGAGGCAGAAAATGCTTTCCAAGAGCTAGTTGAATCCTGAAGCATGGATTTTTATGCTACAGGAATAAACAAACTTTTTTCTCATTAGCAAAAATGTGTTGTTCCTATTTTCATTAATAAAGATGTGTTTGAGCTTAGTTATAATTTAAAATTCATGGTCCAGAACCGCAATTACTTCTGTACCAACCTAATACTTAAGCTGTGTATATAACCCTTTGCCTATGGACTTTCAGACATTTCCTCTTGTTCACTTTTTCTGTTTTTTATTATTCTTTCTCTTTTGCTTTCAAAAAGGAGCTCTTCCCTCTTAAAAATCTTGTTAGCGCTATGGGCCTGGTTTCAGATATCAACATTAACTTTTATTTTTGTTAGAAAAATTCTTTAGATCTCAGATAATCAATTTTCACATCTGTAAAACAGAATTAATGGTACTGTCTTAACAGAGTTGCTTTGAGTGTTAAGAGAATATGAAGTATAAAGTCTATACTTTATACATAAGGTATATAAAGAATTTGAAGTATAGTGCCTGCCACAGAGTACATGCTCAATAAATAGTAGCTTTGAATATCATTTTCATTATAATCACCACTAACACCCCTAGCTCTTTTTATTTTCTTTTGAAATTATCCTATCCCTTACTTTCTCTTTATGAACAGTAGAACAGTGGTGAATACATGATAATTTTACTACTCATTTCTACTAGTTTCCTAGTGCTGCTGTAATAAAGTATTAGAAACTGAGTGACATAAAACAACAGAAGAAATATTCTAATACTTCTCGAGGCTAAAGGTCTTAAAATCAAAGTATCAGCAGAGACTTGCTTCCTCTGGAACACTAGGTAGAATCCTTCCTTGCCTATTCCTAGCTTCTGGTGCTGGCTGTCAATCCTTGGTATTTGGTCTTGTATCTGTATCACTCTATTCTTTGCTGGTGTCATCAAATGGCATTCTCCTCCTGTATCTCTGTTTGTGTGTGTGTGTATGTATCTCTGTTTTTATCTTCATGTATCTCTGTTTTTATCTTTTCCAATAAAGACAGCAGTTATGCTGGATTAAGGTTCACCTTAATGACCTCAAGGTATCAGAACTTAATTAAATCTGCACAGACTACATTTCAAATTAAGTCACGTTCATAGGTGCTGGAGATTAGGTCTTCAATGTGTATTTTTGGGGGGATATAATTCAACCTATAACATTGTAGGAAAGCATACATATGATCTATTTAGGGAAAATATCTTCCCTCTATAGATCAGTTCTTTGGACTTTGAATTGAGTTTTGTGGTTCAAGTTATACATATATTGTTTCATTTTCTTTATTATCTTCCCACTGGTAGAGATGTCTCTATCTTTGTTTAGGTCTTATATTTAGAAACTAAAACTAAAGCTATCACCTTCTTGTGAATCTTAGACTGAATAGCTTACAAATGTATATAGGGATTTATTTTTATTCTTCAGTATTTAGAATTTGTAGCATTCTTGAGTATTCTAGATACTTGATATCTCTATTTAAGGAAGCTGGTAGTTTAAATTTGTCCTTAGTTATAAACTGAAAACTATTTGAATAGTTTTTGATAAAATACTAAAGTTATTTTTTTAAATTCTCTTTAGGAAATAGCACACTCCCAGGTTAAACAGGAGGCTGTATTGCTACATGAAAAGCTTTATGAGTTGGAGTCCCATCGAGATCAGATGATTGCAGAAGACAAAAATATGGGATCTCCAATGGAAGAAAGAGAGAGATTGCTCAAGCAGGTAGGAAAAACAAACATACTTATTTTAAAATGTCAGGATTTGGTAAATGTATCCATTTGTTTTATTTAAGGCATATGCATTGAACAGAAAGCCAATAAGCTTATTTAAACAAAACAGTGAAAAGCAGACTCCACCTAAATTAATATGAACTGCTTGACCAAAAAAATCTAGATAAAAGTAATTTCTGACATAGAGACTTTATTTTTTTTACTTAAATCCTAATTTTGTATGGTCTTCATACATATTTGATCATTTTTTCATGTTTTGGTTCCTTACAAGAAAAACTCTTCTTATTGGTCAGTAAATAATTAGACAATCTTACTGAAAATGTATTCTGTTATTTGCTTTAGACCTCATATATAGAAAACTAAGTGCCCCAAGGCTGGTGACTTTGTGTGGTTATTTCTGTCAGTGCCTTGATGAAAGTGAATGAATTTAGAATGTCCTGTGAGATCATAGTATGTCAGAATGTTGTATCACATGTGTTCAGTAGTTTTCTTACTGCCCCAAGGCTGGCTTTAATTTAGCCTATTATTTATCCTGAGACACCCTAAAACACCTTAAACATACAGCCCTTAGGAGCCTATATATTTGGGAAACAGATCGAGTGAATAACCTGTAAATGGGACTCCTTTGTGGTCTTAGATTGAATCCAATGGGTTTGCAAGAACAGTAAGGATCACCTCAGGCTTCCCAGGTGGCATTAGTGGTAAAGAACCTGCCTGCCAGTTTAGGAAACACAAGAGGTGCAGGTTCGATCCCTGGGTTGGGAAGATCCCCTGGAAGAAGTCATGGCAACCCTCTCCATATTCTTGCTTGGAGAATCCTATGGACAGTGGAGCTTGGTGGGCTAAGTCCATAGGGTCACAAAGAGTCAGACACAAATGAAGTGACTTAGCACACAGGAGCTATTTAAGTATTAGAATCATTCTATAAAGGTATTATAATCTAGAATCTCTGAAACTCCTTGGAAAGAGATCATTGAAGGCAGGGGACTAAAGAGTGATCCCAGGATAGAATTGCTAAATAAAATATAGAATGATTAAGTTAAATTTGAATTTCAGATAAGCAATGAATAATCTTTCAGAATAAATATATATGTAAAGATGATAAGTGTATTCCAAATACTGCATAGTATATACATACTACAAAAGGTACTCATTGTTTTTCTGAAATTGAAATGTAATGGGGTTTGCTAAATCTGGCAACCCTACTTTGTGTGTGGGTTGGGAGTAGGTAAGGGGGAGTCAGGGGTAGGGAGACAGGCTCAAACATCCTAGATATTTATTTAAACTGATTCGGTCCTGAAAATGTATTAATCTCATTGTGCTTTGTTGGATAGGTATGGATATATCAGTCACCACTCTTCCTTTGAGGAGGAAAGAAAAATCTGTGACTAGTTCCCCTGTGATGTTCCTTTTAACTTAAAAGGTTGAATTTTAAGAAATAAGTTAAAAGAAAGAGACTAGATTTGACATTTTAGTACATGCCTTAGAAGGAAAATCTCTTTAAGATGGCCCAACAATGAACAGTTCTTTAAATTCTGTTTTCTCTTTATACATTTATAGGTTAAAGAAGATAATCAGGAGATAGCCAGCATGGAGCGGCAGTAAGTACATTTACATTAGGACATTTTACATTCATTTCTCACCTTTTAAATTGTAGTCTAAGTGTATAAGAGATGCATATTGTTAGTCTTTTTTTTTCAGTGGTTCATAGTGACAGTGCAGCTTTCAGTTTTATTTATAGCTTTAAATAATTCTTTGAATGTTTAGTTAGGAGCCATTACATAGTATAATTACTTTTTAAAAACAGCTTTATTGCGATGTAATACATATACAAATCATATATTTAAAGTGTACAATTCAGAGATTTTTAGTATATTCACAGAATTGTGTAACCACCACCTCAGTCAATTTTCAAACACTTCAGTCACCCCACTGAGAACCCATATCCCATCACACCTCTCATCCCCAATTCCCAGCCCTAGGCAACCATTCTGCTTTATGTCTCTATAGGTTAGCATGTTCTGGACATTTCATATAAATGAGAGCATACAATGCATAGTCCTATGTGGCTGGATTCTTACACTTAGCATAATGTTTCCATTATGGTTGGGGTCACTGAGTGTACCAGTGCAAGTGCCTGGGACCCTTTGAAGGAGGTCACCATTATCTTCATTACCTCCACCATATTTTGGCCTCAGGTCAAAAATAACATGGAGGGAACACAGCCCTGCCCTTCAACAGAAAATTGGGTTAAAGATTTACTGAGAATGGCCCCACCCATCCAAACAAGACCCAGTTTCCCCCTTAGTCAGTCTCTCCCATAAGCTTCCATAAACCTCTTATCCTTCTCCATCAGAGGGCAGAAAACCATAATCACAGAAAACTATCCAATCTGAACAATGGACCACAGCCTTGTCTAACTCAATGAAACTATGAACTCTGCCACGTAGGGCCACCTAGAACGGATGTGTCATGTTGGAGAGTTCTGACAGAATGTGGTCCACTGGAGAAAGGAATGGCAAACCACTTCAGTATTCTTGCCTTGAGAACCCCATGAACAGTATGAAAAGGCAAAAAGAAAGGATACTGAAAGAGGAACTCCTCAGGTTGGTAGGTGCCCAGTATACTACTAGAGATCAGTGGAGAAATAACTCCAGAAAGAATGAAGAGATGGAGCCAAAGCAAAAACAACACCTAGTTGTGGATGTGACTGGTGGTGGAAGTAAAGTCCGATGCTCTAAAGAACAATATTGCATAGGATCCTGGAATGTTAGGTCCATGAATCCAGGCAAATTGGAAGTGGTCAAACAGGAGATGGCAAGAGTGAACATTGACATTTTAGGAATCAGTGAACTAAAATGGACTGGAATGGGTGAATTTGACTCTGATGACCATTATATGTAATACTGTGGGCAAGTATTTCTTAGAAGAAATGGAGTGGCCATCATAGTCAACAGAAGAGTCCGAAATGTAGTGCTTGGATGCAGTCTCAAAAATGACAGAATAATCTCTGTTCCTTTCTAAGGCAAACCATTCAGGATCACAGTAATCCAAGTCTATGCCCCAAGCAGTATTGCTGAAGAAGCTGAAGTTGAATGGTTCTATGAAGACCTACAAGACCTTCTAGAACTCACACCCAAAAAAGATGACCTTTTCATTATAGGGGCCTGGAATGCAAAAGTAGGAAGTCAAGAAATACCTTGAGTAACAGGCAAATTTGGCCTTGAAGCAGGGCAGAGGCTAATAGAATTTTGCCAAGAGAATGCACTGGTCATAGCAAACACCCTCTTCCTTGAAGGGAAGACTCTACACATGGACATCACCAGATGGTCAATATTGAAATCAGATTGATTATATTCTTTGCAGCCAAAGATAGAGAAGCTCTATGCAGTCAGGAGCTGACTGTGGCTCAGATCATGAACTCTTTAAGCCAAATTCAGACTTAAAATTGAAGAAAGTAGGGAAAACCACTAGACCATTCAGGTATGACCTAAATCAAATCCCTTAGGATTATACAGTGGAAGTGACAAATAGATTCAAGGGATTAGATCTGATAGACACAGTGCCTGAAGAACTATGGACAGAGGTTCGTGACATTGTACAGGAGGCAGGGATCAAGACCATCCCCAAAGGGAAAAAAATGCAAAAAGGCAAAATGGTTGTCTGAGGAGGCCTTACAAATAGCTGTGAAAAGAAGAGAAGCAAAAGGCAAAGGAGAAAAGGAATGATATACCCATTTGAATGCAGACTTCCAAAGATCGTAAGAAGAGATAAGAAAGCCTTCCTCAGTGATCAGTGCAAGGAAATAGAGGAAAACAATAGAATGGGAAAGACTAGAGATCTCTTCAAGAAAATTAGAGATGTCAAGGGAAAATTTCATGCAAAGATGGGCTCAATAAAGGGCAGAAATGGTATGGACCTAACAGAAGCAGAAGATATTAAGAAGAGGTGGCAAGAATACACAGAAGAACTGTACAAAAAAGATCCTCATGACCCAGATAATCACGATGGTATGATCATTCATCTAGAGCCAGACATCCTGGAATGTGTAGTCAAGTGGGCCTTAGGAAGCATCACTACAAACAAAGCTAGTGGAGGTGATGGAATTCCAGTTGAGCTATTTCAAATCCTGAAAGATGATGCTGTGAAAGTGCTGCACTCAGTATACCAGCAAATTTGGAAAAGTCAGCAGTGGCCACAGGACTGGAAAAGGTCAGTTTTCATTCCAGTCCCAAAGAAAGGCAATGGCCAAGAATGCTCAAACTACCACACAATTGCACTCATCTCACAGGCTAGTAAAGTAATGCTCAAAATTCTCCAAGCCAGGCTTCAACAATATGTGAACCATGAACTTCCAGATATTCAAGCTGGATTTTGAAAAGGCAGAGGAACCAGAGACCAAATGGTCAACATCCGTTGGATCGTGGAAAAAGCAAGAGAGTTCCAGAAAAACATCTACTGCTTTATTGACAGTGCCAAAGCCTTTGACTGTGTGGATCCCAACAAACTGTGCAAAATTCTGAAAGAGATGGGAATACCAGACCACCTGACCTGCCTCTTGAGAAACCTGTATGCAGGTCAGGAAGCAACAGTTAGAACCAGACATGGAACAACAGACTGGTTCCAAATCAGGAAAGGAGTATATCAAGGCTGTATATTGTCACCTTGCTAAATTTAACTTATATGCAGAGTACATCATGAGAAATGCTGGACTGGATAAAGCACAAGCTGGAATCAAGATTGCCAGGAGAAATATCCATAATCTCAGATATGCAGATGACACCACCCTTATGGCAGAAAGTGAAGAACTAAAGTGCCTGCTGAGAAAAGTGAAAGAGCAGAGTGAAAAAGTTGGCTTAAAGCTCAACATTCAGAAAACGCTTAGGATCATGGCATCTAGTCCCATCACTTCATGGGAAATAGATGGGGAGACAGTGGAAACAGTGTCAGACTTTATTTTTGGGGGCTCCAAAATCACTGCAGATGGTGATTGCAGCCATGAAATTAAAAGACACTAGCTCCTTGGAAGAAAAGTTACAACCAACCTAGAAAGGAAGAAAAAGAAAGAAAGTGACGTTGCTCAGTCGTGTCTGACTCTGCGATCCCGTGGACTATAGCCTACCAGCTCCTCCGTCCATGGATTCTCCAGGCAAGAATACTGGAGTGGGTTGCCATTTGCTTCTCCAGGGGATCTTCCTGACCCAAGGATCGAACCCAGGTCTCCCACATTACAGGCAGACACTTTACCCTCTTAGCCACCAGGGATGCCCTATAACTAACCTAGACAGCATATTTAAAAGCAGAGACATTACTTTGCCAACAAAGGTCTGTCTAGTCAAAGCTATGGTTTTTCCAGTAGTCGGGTATGGATATGAGAGTTGGATTATAAAGAAAGCTGAGTACCAAAGAATTGTTGCTTTTGAACAGTGGGTTGGAGAAGACTCTTGAGAGTCCCTTGGACAGCAAGGATATCCAACCATCATCTTAAAGGAAATCAGTCCTGAATACTCATTGGAAGGACTGATGCTGAAGCTGAAACTCCCAATATTTTGGCCACCTCATGTGAAGAACTGACTCATTTGAAAAGACCCTGATGCTGAGAAAGATTGAGGGTGGGAGGAGAAGGGGATAACAGAGGATGAGATGGCTGAATGGCATCACTGACTCAATGGACATGAATTTGAGTAAACTCCGGGAGTTGGTGATGGACAGGGAGGCCTGGCGTGTTGCAGTCCATGGGGTCGCCAAGAATCGGACACGACTGAGTGACTGAACTGAATATTTCCAAGGTTCATCTATGTTGTAGTATGTATCATTATTTCATTTCTTTTTATTGCCAAATAATACCCCATTGCATGGATATACCATATTTATTTATCCATTCATTAATTGATAGACATTTGGATTGTTTCTGTCTTTTGGCTATCATGGATCATGCTGGTATGAACATTCATTTATAAATTTTTGTGTGGACATATATTTTTGCTTCTCTTGTGTATTTACCAAGAGTGGTATTTACCTAGGAGTGCTGATTCATACAGTAACTCTATATTTAACTTTTTGAGGCAGTGCCAGACTATTTTCCAATGCTGCTAAACCATTTTTCATTTTCACCATCAGTGACTAAGTATTCCAGTTTCTCCATGACTTCATCAACACTTGTTGTTACCTTTTCTTTTTGATTATAGCCATTATAGTGTGTGTGAAGTGGTATCTCATTGATTTGCATTTTCCTGATGACGAATGATGTTGAACCTTTTTTCATGCATTTATTCGTCATGTGTATATATTCTTTGGAAAAATATCTGTTCACATTCTTTGCCCATTTTTTTCCCATTCAGTTTTATAAATTTTATTTGTGTTTTGACTGCGTTGGGTCTTTCTTACAGCACATGGGCCCTTTGTTGCTGTATGCTGACTTTCTCTAGTTGTGGAGAGCGGGAGCTGCTCTGTAGGTGCAGTGCATGGGCTTAGCCTTACAGTGACTTCTCTTGCTGTGGAGCACAGTCTCTAGGGTGTGGAAGCTCAGTGGTTGTGGCTCATGGACTTAGTTGCCCCATGGCATGTGGGATCTTAGTTTCCATACTGGGGATTGAACCCATGTCCCCAACATTGACAGGTAAATTCTTAACCACTGGGCCACCAGGGAAGTCCTCCCAATTTTAAATTGGGTTATTAATTTATTTTTGACTGTGCCATGAGGGATATTAGTTCCCTGACCAAGGATTGAACTGGAGTCCCTTCCATTGGAAGTGCAGTCTTAACCACTGGACTGTCAAAGGAGTCCACTTATTGTCTTATTAGTGAATTGTAAGAGGTCTTTATATATTCTAAATAGACTCTCTCATCAGATCAATGATTTGCAAAATTTTTCTTCCATTATGTGGATTTTCTTTTTACTTACATTATAGTGTTCGTTGAAATACAGAAGTTTTAGACTTTGATGGTATCTGGTTTGTTTTCTTTTTTTGCTTGTGCTTTTGGTATCATATCTAAGAAACCAGTGCCTAATTCAAGTTCACAAAGACTTATGCTTATGTTTTATTTTTATTTAACTGTTTTATAGTGCAGTTCTTATGTTTAGATCTGTGATTCATTAACTTTCGTGAACGGTATGAGGTAGGCGTCCAATTGTATTCTTTTCCTTATGCATTTCCAGCTGTCCCAGTACCATTTGTTGAAATATTCTTTCAACAAATGTTGCTTAATGTTCTTTCTCTGTTAAACTGTCTTGGCACCTTTGTCAAAAATCAATGTATATAGATATAGTCCTTTTTCTAGACTCAAAACAATTCTGTTCCATGGCTATATATGTCTTTCCTTATTCCAGTACCATACTGTCTTGATTACTATTTGTTGTTATTATTCAGTCACTAATCATGTCCGACTCTTTGCAGCCCCATGGGCTGTAGCACGCCAGGCTCTCTGTCCTTCATTATCTCTTGGAGTTTGCTCAAATTCATGTCCATTGAGTCGGTGATTCTATGTAACTGTCTCATACCCTGCTTCCTCTTTTCTCCATATGCCTTCAATCTTTCTCAGCATCAGAACCTTTTCCAGTGAGTCTGCTCTTCACGTCAGGCAGCCGGAGTACTGGAGTTTTAGGTTCCGCATAAGTTCTTCCAAAGAATATTCAGGATTGATTTCCCTTAGGGTTGACTGGTTGAATCTCCTTGCAGTCCAGGGGACTCCCAAGAGTGTTCTCTGGCACCACAATTCAAAAACATCAGTTCTTTGGCGCTCAGCCTTTTTTATGGTCCGTGGTCCAACTCACATTTGTACATAACTACTGGAAAAATCATAGCTTTGACTATAAGGACTTTTGTCAGCAAACTGACATCTCTGCTTTTTAATGCGCTGTCTAGGTTTGTCACAGCTTTCCTTCCAAGGAGTAAACGTCTTTAAATTCCATGGCTGCAGTCACCATCTGCAGTGATTTTGGAGCCCAGGGAAAGAAAATCTGACAGTGCTTCCATTTTTTCCCCTTCTGTTTGTCATGAAGTGATGGGAGCAGATGCTATGGTCTTAGTTTTTTTTCTAATGATTACTGTAGTTCTGTAGTAAGTACAACTGCTTTTGTGACAATTTTAACCCATATAATCTGCTCCCAGTGGTAAATTTTCTGTTATTTTACAACTTTTAAGACAAACTTGCTGACTTAGTTTAGTTTATACAAACCTACATAAGGTTGCTAAAGATTTTTTATTTTCTTAGTATGACAAGTAAAATTCAAAAGAACTTTGGGGAAGTGCCTGCTGTTGAAGTCAGGCAAGCTGACGTTTTCAGAATACACTTGTACTCTAAAGATGAATCACGAAAAAATACTTTTCTCTCAAAATTTATAGTATTGTCCTCAGAATAAAGCATATTTTTATCAATATTATTTCTGCAGATTAGAAAAGATTAAAGATTTTGTAACATCATCACTAAATGTTTTTATTGAATAGCAAAATTATCTGCCATAGATTAATTAAATAATATTTTCAACAGGTTAACAGATATAAAAGAAAAAATAAATCAATTTATTGAAGAAATTAGACAGCTTGACATGGATTTAGAAGAACACCAAGGTAATTTTTTTATATTTTTATGATATATAATAATAGACTAAAAAATGGATACATAGCAGTATTTATATAGTACTAGGGTCTCAGGGACTCTTTGTCTGGGGTTTATTATTTAATTCTTTGTGATATCACTAAGTTTAACTGCTAAAATGCTAAACTACTAAAATAATAAATATAGTTAGTATTGAATTAAAGCCAGCTAAAAGCTTTATGTAATTCAAATGGTTGTATAATAACAAGAATTTATTTTGTTTTGCCAAGAAGTTTTTTTTTTTTTAATCAAGTAAAATGGGTTAAAGTTGCTCACAGATTCTAAGTTATACTTCTTCAACATGGGCTATGTGGTAGAGTTGTGGGGGAGTGAGGATCAAGTCATAAATGTCACAAAAGGTACAGGAAGTTATTCCCCAGAGGGCCCAGTAATGAGGTGGCAAATACTGATTATTCCAGTTCTCTGTCACCTTTCCCTAGCAGTGGCCTTGGAAGAGCCAAGGCAAGAACCAGAACTCTTGGGGTGGAAATGCTGTGGTACGAATTTGGGAGCTACAGTGTGTGTGTGTTTGGGGGAAGACTTTGGTCATTACAGATTTCTAACCAACTTCTCTCTAATAAAGGGGGAATGTGGGTTGCTATGGCACTTTAATCACATATTATGTGCAAACCAGTTAATATGCTAATTGGATTATCAACACTTGACTATATATTCTTAAGAGTTAGGTATGGTATTGTAAATAATATACCTATTAGAGCAGAAGAGATTAAGAAGAAGTTGCAAAAATACACAGAACAACTATACAAAAAAGGTCTTAATGACCTGGATAAACATGATGATGTGGTCATTCACCTAGAACTGGACATCCTGGAGTGTGAAGTCAAGTGGGCCTTCAAAAGCATTACTATTAACAAAGTTACTGGAAGTGATGGAATTCCAGCTGAGCTATTTAAAATCCTAAAAGATGTTACTGTTCAAATGAAAGTGAAAGTCGCTCAGTCATATCTGACTCTTTGCAACCAGCTGAGCCACAAGGGAAGCCCATTACTGTTAAAGTGCTGCACTAAATATGTCAGCAAATTTGGAAAACTCAGAAGTGGCCACAGGACTGGAAAAGGTCGGTTTTCATTCCAGTCCCAAAGAAGGGCAGTGCCAAAGAATCTTAAACTGTACAATTAAGCATACAGTTGGGACTTCTGTGATAGCTCAGTTGGTAAAGAATCTGCTTGCAATGCAGGAGACGCCGGTTGGATTCCTGGGCTGGGAAGATCCGCTGGAGAAGGGATAGGCTACCCACTCCAGTATTCTTGGGCTTCCCTTGTGCCTCAGCTGGTAAAGAATCTGCCTGCAATGCGGGAGACCTGGGTTTGATCCCTGGGTTGAAAAGATCCCCTGGAGAAGGGGAGCGCTGCCCACTCCAGATTTCTGGTCCGGAGAATTCCATGGGCTGTATAGTCCATGGAGTCGCAAAAAGTCAGACATGACTGAATGACTTCACTTTCACATTTTGTGCTCATTTCACACGCTAGCAAGGTTATGCTCAAATCTTCAAGGTAGACTTCAGCAGTACATGAACTGAGCTTCCAGATGTACAAGCTGGGTTTAGAAAAAGCAGAGGAACCAGGAATCAAATGGCCAACATCTGTTGGATCATAGAGAAAGCAAGGGAATTCCAGAAAAACACTACTTCTGCTTTATTGACTATGCTAAAGCCTTTGACTGGGTGGATCACAACAAATTGTGGAAAATTCTTCAAGAGATGGGAGTACCAGACCACCTTATCTGTCTCCTGAGAAACCTGTTTATGGGTCAAGAAGCACAGTTAGAACCAGACATGGAACAACAAATTGATTCAAAATTGAGAAAGGAGTATGTCAAAGCCGTATATTATCACCCTGCTTATTTAATTCATATGCAGAGTGCATCATGCAAAATGCCACACTGAATGAATCACAAGCTGGAATCAAGATTGCTAGAAGAAATATCAACAATCTCAGATATACAAATGATACCACTCTAATGGCAGAAAGTGAAGAACGAAAGAGCCCCTTGATGAAAGGCTTGAAAGCCTTTCATCTTGATGAACGGATGAAAGAGAAGAGTGAAAAAGCTGGCTTGAAACTCAACATTCAAAAAATGAAGATCTTTGGCATCGAGTCCCAAATAAAAGGGTAAAAAGTGGAAGCAGTAGCAGATTTTCTTTTCTTGGGCTCTAGAATCAACTGCCGATGGTGACTGCAGCCATGAAATTTAAAGATGCTTGCTCCTTGGAAGGAAAGCTGTGACAAACCCAGAGAGCATATTAAAAAGCAGAGACATCACTTTTCCGACAAAGGTCCATATAATCAAAGCTGTGGCTTTTCCAGTAGTCATGTATGGACATGAAAGTTGGACTGTAAAGAAGGGTCAGCACCAAGGAATTGATGCTTTTGAATTGTGGTGCTGGAAAAGATTGTTGAGAGTCCCTTGGACTACAAGGAGTCCAGGGGACTCCTTGCACTGATTGATTTAGTCAATCCTAAAGGAAATCAACCCTGGATATTCACTGGAAGAACTGATGTTAAAGCTGAAACTCTAATACTTTGGCCACCTGATGCAAAGAGCAGAAAAGACCTTGATGCTGAGAAAGTAAGAGAAGAAAGAGGGGATGCAAGGATGTTCCTTCATCCTTTGGAGGAGCAAAGCATGAGACAGTTAGATAGTGTCACTGACTCAATGGACATGAATCTGAGCAAACTCCTCCTCCTGCCCTGCTGCAGTTCATGGAGTCTCAGAGTCGGCCAGGACTTAGCGACTTTACAACAACAATAATGGCTGAAAGCAGGGGAAACGGGTGTACTTTTCCTAAATTTTTTATTTCAATTTTAATGCAGTCTATTAGTTTTATTTATACTTTTTCTTGACTTATGAGTAATAGTGTTAGCGACTGTTGATTACTTATCTAGACTGGTTACTTTATGATCTTTACAGAAACCCTTTGAGGCCTTGTTAACCTCTTTTATACTTGTTGAAGCTCAGAGAAGTTACTTATATTCTCACAACTAATAACGGGTAGAGTCTAGATATATGCCAAGTTCTCTTTGACCCCAAAGTCTTAGTTTTATTGCCCAAACCTAATCTTGGCTTTCTGATATGAAGTGCCATATTTGTGAAATGAAAATATTCTTGTGAAATGCTTAGTCTTATTTATATGTGGCTACATGTCAATGAGATCTCTAAAAACAGACGGACTTTAAGCCCTGATTATTAGGAAAGTAAACTTATCTGAGCTTTCATTCTCTCATTTGCAAAATAAATATAATGGTCCTACCTCACTAAGATTTGTGAATATTAAATGGTACACATGGCAAGGTAGGTTCACTAAGGTCATGTTATTTTCTTTATTAAATTATTTTATTGCTTTTAATTTATATAGATCTAGTGCAGATTTCTGAGAAATTGATAATGTTCTTGATTTCAGATACTTTATAGGATACATTTTAAATAATATTCCACCTTCTAAATTTAAATTTATTAATTGCTAGTTCTAAAAGTTCCTCTGTTCTTCTCCAGGGGATCTTCCCAACCCAGGGATTGAACCAGGTCTCCCGCATTGCAGGCAGACTCTTATACCATCTGAGCCATCAGGGGAATCCCAGTTCTAAAATAAATAGAATGCTTTGAATTGTAGCTTCTTTTTCCTTTTAGTTTTCGAACATTATTTTTCAAAAATTCTTTGTCCTTTCTTGCCATGCTTTGTGGCTTACAGTATCCAGTTCCTCAATCAGGGATCGAACCTGTCTCCCTTGCAGTGGAAGCACAGAGCTGTAACCACTGGGCCACCATGGGATTCCCTGTCCTTTTTGATTAATGTAGAAAGATGCAATCTATAATGTAATAGTAGCAAAAAAGTATATATACATATGCTTTTTTATTTTATACACACACACACACACGTGTCTCTGTGTGTGCGTGCATGCTCAGTTGCTCAGTCATGTCCGACTCTTTGTGACCCCATGGGCTATAGTTGGTCAGGCTTCTCTTTCCATAGAATTTTCCAGGAAAGAATACTGGAGTTGGTTGCCATTTCCTACTAAGGAGATCTTCCCGACCGAGGGATCAAACCTGTGTTTCTGGTGTCTCCTGAATTGGCAGATGGACTCTTTACCACTGTGCCACCTGGGAAGCCCATATTTATATATGTAAATATAAGTATTATGTGTTCACACACATATATATATACATATATATATATATATATATATGTATATATATATATTTATCAATGGATTAGTTTTCTGTTCTTCTACTACCTTGTGATCATCCTTGAATATTGTGAACAGCATAGGGATTTTTGTTAGTTAAGGATCTCATTGTTTCTTGCCTGCACTACTGTGATAGTCTACTAACTGGTCTTCCCACCTCCATTCTTGCTCCCTCTCAGATTCATCCACCACAGTATGCCAGACTGACTTTGTGAAATGTGATTTTCTGTCATTCTCCTACTGAACAGTGGTTCTCAATGACCTACAAGATAAAATTTAAGAATCTTTGTATGGCATTCTAGTTCTTCCATAATCTGGCCTGTACATTGTCAATCTCCTTTTCTATCCCTTGTCATCTCTATGCTTACATTCTAGTAATAATAATAATAATAATTTATTATACCAGTGGTACTTCACACCTCACCCCCTTTACCATATATCAAAGTATTGTTTCACGTTCAATCCTTTGTTCCTGTTATTTGTTCCCTTATCTTGAATGTTCTTTTCCCGGTTATTTATCTCCCTAACTTCTCATCTTTTAAGATCTAGCTCAGGTATCCTTTCATGTCCAGTGTAAACCCTGACTTCCCTCCCTGACCTGCTTCTGGGCTGGGCTAAGTGAATGGGCCCCTCTGTTATCAGAGCACATGGCATAAATGCATTGACCGTATGACTACCACTTTTTGCTTAGATATTTGTCTTTCTCTTAGGCTGTGTGTCCTCCAGGACAGGGACTGCGTCTTGTTTCCTCTTTCATCAACACAGTG